AGAAACGGAAAAGAATCCAGTGTATATTTTTAACTACTTCTAACTTTGCTGTCCTGATTACATATTTCAATGCAATGTCCCTCTCATTTAACGAGGAACTAGGTGCCGCAGACTTGGTTTCAGGAACCAATTTATAAATTTGTGATGTATCATCAGCGTTCTCGCTTTTACCTGAGGTAGCCAAAGGAATTTGTTAGGGAATTTTGTTTGAATAGAATATCTAAGTACTATTTACTGTAGAATTTTTTTTTTCTTCCTGTAAGATTTACTGTTGTGCGACATTGTTTTCTTTCCGGTAGAAAAGGGGAGCAACTCTTGAAACACAAGTGTAAAATTTCTTACTATACGGATCTAAAAGTAAAACATTGACAGCAAAATTTAAAGCGTTGCATGTTAAACTTGTTGGGACATGAGAGTAGCTCCCCTAATACCTACCTGGAACCGATTTGTAAACAACCTTGCTAAACAGTAAGTCTTACAGGCATAAAATAAAACATTTTTCGACTGTTAGTTGGAAAAGAATTATACAGGGAAGTCAAAGCTTTGCCTTGCCATGTGTATATTTAAAAGCAAATTAAATTTTTTTAGAAAATGAAAAAATATTGGGTGCTGCCAAAGGTGCTATGGCCTGTATTTTAAGAAAAATTCTACATGTATAAGATAATTCCTAAATCGGAAGTGTTCTCCCGCAAGACGTGCTTGGTTCCCCGTTCCGCTCTAGGTCAATGTATGTGAAACAGAAGCCGGAGAATACTTTCTGTAGGAATTACCTTCTAAAAATATTGTCTACATGTAGAATTTTTCTTAAAATACAGGCACATACTGACATAGGACTTAGTGCCACTCGTGGACTGTGGAGGATAAAACCATTTAAAAGTATGTAAAATTCAGTTGTTTGTATGTGTGTTCGACCTGTTTGATATCTTTGTTGATGTATTTCAAGCGTAAATACCAGGCTACAATGTAAATGTCATGACGGTCTCATCTTTCGGACCTGGGTGATTTCTGACTTTCAGGCTTTACTGCGGTAGTTTTACGTGTAAATAAGGATCTGTTCATAGTCAGTTATGATAGAAAATTTTTAATTTGCATTGATTCCATGCGAAAATCCGACGGTATTACCACCCGGTGGAAAATTTTGACACTGAGAACGGACATACCCATAATTTTCGTACTCGGATGTTGCATACCTTGTCTATAATAATATAACAGTGAAAAATTTTTTTTTTTTTTTTAGTATATTGATATTTTATTGCATAAATAACAAGGTTAAACACATTTTAGGTCAAATCAATGCCACTAGCACCTTTGGGCGCTGCAACAGCGAATATTCCGATAATGGACAAATCGCAATTTTTCAAGTAAGTAAGTAAGTAAGTAAGTAAAGTCTTTATTTACTGAGGCTACACATTTGGTTTCCCAATCTTCCATGTGGGCCTCAAAACATAAATATACATAAAATATACATAATTTACATAATGGTTATACAGCAAAATTTTCAAATAACATACATGAAGACAAAAATGCATAATATATACATGAAAACACAACAAAAACAATGTACATTCAAACAAAATACATATTCAAAACACAATGCATGTACATACATTACTTTACACTAAATCCATGCAAGATCAAGGTACTTATGTGAAATTCCAACTGTTTCAGATTTACGAATAGAAAGAGGGATATTATTTTATAGTTTAGGGCCAGAATATGTCAGAGATTTTCTTAAAATTCCTTTTTTAGGTTGTGGCACAAATTAATCTGAATTATTTGCTGACCTAAGGTTATGCTTATCTCTTTGATGAATATATTGAAATTTGTTTTTCATGTTCTGTGGAAATGAGCCACTGTTTAACGATTTATACATAATGACAGCTTTTATTGTATTTTATTTTTTCATCCATTTTTTATCCAATTTAATTCATTAAGTAACTCAGCAGATGGAGCATCATAGCTTTTGTCAAGAATGATTCTTGCAGCTCTTTTCTGAAATTTTATGATATCCAAAATCTGTTCATTGTTACAATTCCCCCAGACTGTACAACAATAATCTAAATGTGGTAAGATATAAGCATTAAAGAACAGTTTTCTTGCATTTACATCAAGGTATTGTTTAATTCGGAGAAGAAGGTACAACTGAGTATTGCATTTCTTTAATGTCTTGTCTACTTGGGTTTTCCACTTAAGATTATTGTCAACATGAATACCTAGTAACTTTTCTGTCTCAGAAAATTCAATTTCATGTTCTTGCAGATGTAATGGTTGTAATTGTTGTTTATTTCTATTGGATGACAGGTTCATTGCTTTTGTTTTCTGGGCATTTAGCATCATTGCATTTTGTTTGCACCATAGATTAATATTGTCAAGGTCAGTTTGAAGTTTATTATGTAAATCTTGTGTAGAGAGACCTGATGCTGTGAGAGTAGTGTCATCAGCAAAAAGATCTGCCTCTGAGGTTTTCAAATGGAGTGGTAGATCATTTATGTATATGATGAAAAGCAGAGATCCAAGGACAGATCCTTGAGGTACCCCTGATATGACTGTTGCTGATTTTGATAGGTTGCCAGATACAGTGACCTTCTGTGTTCTATTTTCAAGATATGATGTAAACCAGGTAATTGCACCAGAAGAAATATGATAGTAATAAAGTTTTTGGATGAGTAACTTATGATTTACAAGGTCAAATGCCTTTGACAAGTCAAGAAAGATTGTGCCAATTAGCTTTCCATCATTTATTGCCTTAATCCAGTTGTCAACAATATTTGTCAATGCAGTTTCGCATGAATGTTTTGTTCTAAATCCTGATTGGGTGTTGAAAATGAAATTATACAATTCTAGGAATTGTTTTAAATGATCAGACACATGTTTTTCAAATATTTTAGAAAGTATTGGAAGAACAGATATAGGTCTATAATTATTCTTATCTGATTTGTGTCCTTTTTTGAAGAATGGTGTGACCTTAGACTGTTTTAATTTTTCAGGAAATTTACCTGTTGTGATACTCAAATTGATAATAGTAGAAATTGGTCTACATATAACAGGGGATGCAGTTTTTAGAAATTTAGCACTAATGCCATCAAGTCCAGTAGCCTTTGTAACATCAAGAGAATCTAATGCTTGTTTGACTTGACTTGGATCTATAGGTGGAATATCAAATTTTGGTGTATTTTGGTCAATTTTGCTGTTTAACATTTCTTTGAGTATGTATTCATTTGCACTTGTTAGTTTTGTAATATTTTCTGCATTTTTGAATAAATTTGAAAAAAATGTATTAAAAATTTCTGCTGTCTGTTTAGGGTCATAGACTGGATTTCCACTGTCGTCATTAATGTAATTAGTTTGGTGGTTTTCAGCTTTTCCACTCAAGTCTTTTAAATTTTTCCATAGCTTTTTAGGATTTTTGTTGTTTGAAGATATCTCTTGATTAAAGAATTCTTTTTTTGATCTGTGAGAAAGCACCTTGACTTGCGATCTCCAGTATTTAAATTCCTCAATGTTATTTCTCTTTTTTGCAAAATCTCGTTCTTTTATTGCATTAGCTATTTCATCTGTGAACCATTCATTTTGGTTTTTGCGTTTTACCCTTTTTTGTTTATACGGAGCATGTAAATCTAAAACTTTTAGAAATAAATCGTAGAAAGTGTCAAGGGCATCATCAGGTTCTGTAAATACATCAATTAATGACCATGGTTGATTTGATAAGTCAACTAAAAAGTTTTCTGCATTGAATTTTTTTAAATACCTGTAGTTTATAGCGAGCTCGACGAGCTGGCCCGAAGGGCCTGCTCGCAAAGCGAGCTTTACGGTAACGCGAGTACCTGCTAAGTGATGGTTTTGAAAACTTTCGTCCAAAGTACCGAATTGGACACATCGCAACCTTTCGAATATAAAGATAACGATAAAAACTGAGGAATTCTGACTGAAAACGGATGTGGTGGGTGACTGGTCACCTGCGCACGTCTATGGGAACCATAATTGGACAGGGAACCAGAATAACGGAAGCTGTGTATAAAAATTAAAAATTGAAGGCGCCATTTTGTTTGAAATCTGATAAATAAAAACAATTTTTTTGTCGAATTTTGTTGTGAAAGCTAGATCTATCTAGAATGAAAGAAAATGGTCGAACTAAGGAAATGAATCCGAACACCAATATCTTTTATTCAGTCGTTAACGCTGTACAGACGTTTAAAGTATTGTTTACGTGACGTCACAATGTAGCGCCAAACAGCAGGTGCAAAACAAACAAATCAAGTACGCTATTTTAATGTCGCAAACGTTTTAAGTTTTACATTTATTTCAGTTTAGATAATCTTTATTTCGCTTGAAAAATTATAGAGTGAAACAAAATAAACAAAGTTTTATCAACGTTTTCAAAACTCGTTATTCATTTCACGACAGGGGCGGAGCCATATTTAACACAGTACGTGTGACGTCACACGCACTCGTTACTGCATTTGAAATAAAAATGAGTGATTATTTCATACTATTTCACGTAAAAAGTACATCGAGCTCGCTTTGAGGCTTTGCCTTTTTCATATTAGTTATATGTAATGGGCCTTTTTTGATTTTTGCAAGTAAACAATTAAAGGTGAAATGTTCTACTTCTTAAAAGCGTAGTCTGATACCCTGTCTTTGTTATTTTCCCGTCCAAGATAAAGTGCGCTGGGGACTAGTAAAAGGAAGCGTTGCCGACCAAATGACACTTTCAAAACGAAAATATAAAATAAAAAATGATCAATTGCCTTCCTCTTTCATAGGCTTTAAATACTTTCATATTGTTATTATTTATTTTTGAAATGTCAAAGCAAACCAGTTAGAATTTCGCGAAATCCTACTTTATGCATTTGGGACGCCGCTTTAATTACCCCACCCACAAATTTAACATGTCGCAGCAAGTATCGGCACAGCTTGGTCGATTAAATTTGCGTAATTAATGATGCAAACACATTTTAAGTTATTCTATTCTAAAATATATGTATTTTAGGAACTCCTACCCTAATTTTCCCCAAAACACCATTGGTTTCAAGTGTTTGTGCGACTAAATCTCTGAGCTCGGTGTCCTCGTCGGCAGACATGTTGAATTTTCCAAAACAATGGATATGCGCATGCTCAACAAGAGTGTAACCTAAAGATTAGGAAGCACAAGCACGGAAAATGATGGTCTGCGTAATTCTCCATTAAGTGATCTCTCCAAGTCGGAGCATCTAGGGTATTACTAATAATAACCTCAGACATAATACAGATTGAAATTATTTCTATCATCAAACCCTTCGCGTGGACGTATACATGTTATATTCTACCATGTTGTGTTAGATTTAGACAAAACAAAGAGTGTACTTTAATCTTTGAAAATGTATACTTGTACTTGTAAGTAGTTTACATCCAAAGGAAAATAGAGTCGAAGATCATAAACTGATGGACGTTTCATTCTTTAAAAAAATCTTAGTCTCGTTTATAATTTATACCTTTAAATTTAAAGGTCATAATTTTAACCAAGGTAGCAATAAATTGTAGAATTAAACGTCACACATTTCAAAGTATTAACTAACGATAAACTGGATGCTATTGATGTTTTGTTATTGAACCTATTACACTATTTGAAGTTAAAAAATATATTGATAAATTAGATGAGCATAAATCAACTGGTTTGGACGGCATTGGTCCAAATATTTTACGTTACTGTGGTGACCACATCTAAATTGAGTTAATGATTATTAACAGTTCTAGTGATACAGGCTTATTCCCTGACTCTCTCAAAGAAGCTTACGTTCTACCTATATTCAAAGGTGGCGATGAATAAAAATCCAAGCAACTACAGGCCTATATCTATTCTGCCTACGATTTCAAAATATATTTGTAAGACACGCAGCAAATCAAGTTCAATCCTTCTTAAATGTAAAAATACATTTTTAGGTATTTATATAGATAATACTTACTTTGTCCAAAACTTTATTCAACTTTTATACATTTTTGAGGCGTCTATCTTATCATTTGACAGATGAAATGAAACAGTAATTTTATAATGCATATATATTGTCGAATTTTATTTATTGCTTTACTGTTTGGAGCAAAGGAAATTTAAGATCTTTAAATAAAATAGTTAAAATAAAGATATACTGAAAGAACTTTGGCGGATGTCGTTCAATGAACGATGTAATTGTCATTCCAGAATTCTTTATTATAAAGTTTGTAATAACTCATTTAGCTCTTTCTTATATATCTGAAATTTTGACCTTTTCTAATTCTCTGACATCTTTGAAAGGCCCAATATGCCTCAGATTAGCTATAATTTTTATTCTTAAAAAATTATTTTTGGTATCTGGTTACAGTTTCCAAATATTTTCTTATTTGCCATATAGATAATTATCTTTTACCTCTTTTGTTAACTTAGCATTTTGTAAATTATAGTGAATAAGTATTTTGTGTGGAAATCAAAATACTACTTTGTTTACATTTTTCTACCTTGTAGGAGAAAACTTATTAAATTATCTTATTTTTTTTGCATACGTGGAGAAACCTCAAAAGTCTCCCTGCTTTAGAGGGGATGTAATAATGTATACTATAAAGCCTTAAAAAGAGATGATTTATGTTATGATATCAAGATTAGATAACTCTTTACATGTTTAGTTGTATAGTTAATGGGGTTGCTTCCCTTTACTTGATATTCATTAATGCTGATGTTATATATATGATCATGCCTCTCTGATACCTGGGCCATTCTCACTTGAGCTCTAGTCTTAACAACATGTATTAAATGGTTATAATAAATAGTAGAATAATTTGAATCTTGTTATCATCCATACAACATAACAATTTAGAAATGCTGATTGGTTAAAATCTGACATCATTTACGCTTCCGTATTTTATACGGACAAATAATTTTCAAAAGTAATCAAGGCACTAGCTGAAGACATATACGGATCAAATTCAAGGAGCTATTTCTTATTTACTCGTAGCGTAAGGGACTCTTTTCTTTGACTTATAATCAGTATTATAAAGACCCTTGAATCTGCCACTGCACTGACCAAGGGTTATTTACTGAAATGACTCCCACATAATCATTATGTCGGCAAAGTGCCTCAAGGCATGCAGTGTTTTGACTGAAAACATAAAATAACAGGAAGCTCAAACGGGTTTAGACTAGTAGCTAGTCTCCAATAAATAATAATTTAATGCAATCCAGTATTTGCTCCTATGTGCCTTTTTTAAAGAAAAAAAATTAAAGAAACTTATAAGCGACCCTGATGGATCCGTGCCTGAAACTATACTGTAGGCATCTAAATTTACTTTTTTAATAGTGTCATAGATAGAGTTAAAATAATTGAAAAGTATTCTTAGAGCTCTATGCTGCTGTTTTTCAACTTTTTCATTTTTTGTTTTAGAGCCAGACCATGGGACAGTACTTAAAATTGGAATAAATAATAGATTCATTAATAAGAAGTAAACACTCTGAATGAAATATTTTCCTTATTCTTAAAAGTACATTTAATCAATTTGCAGCTTGTACACATTCTGGTCATTTTTTTAAAATCAAAGTTAAGTTAAAAATCTATGTTCACCCTAATGAGTTTTACACAATATTTACATTTTATTATTACATTATTAATTAGGAAGTTTTTAGTTGTAGTTTTTCTAACAGCTATGGGTTGAAACTTGCCAGGATTAGCTTGCATTTTATCAATGTTAATTACATAGACTTTGCTTTTATTTTCTAGAGTATTTTTTCAGCACATTTACGTTTGGATTAAGTTCTAATGGGTTTTAATAACCGCCCATCATAAAGTCTCACACTTTACTCGTCTGACTTTAAATCAAAACAGGAAAGGGAAGTAGTGGCTCAATCGTGAATATACTCTTACAACAGATATTTCCTCAGTTTTAGGTTAAAGATATACTATGCTCAAATTTGGTTTTTGAAAATATTAATATTTTTTAAACAATCTCTAATGTATAAAGCATTTAAAGTAGATATGTTATGTTTTGAACTCTACACACTATAGGTGGTCACAATATGAATATATAGTGTCATTAAAAGAACTGGCAGTTTTGTTTTGTTTTTTAAGAAAAATACCAACTTTACTTGAGCCGTAAAAGGGAATGCAGCTTTCCATACATAATTTATTCATTCTTTTATTCAAATCAAACATATTCAGTCAGAATTTTAACGGATTTCAATACATTTCTAAGATAAAAATATTTTACCAAAAGATGAGCATTTCTAATCTTAAAATCGGATCTCAGGAATCTGCCTAGAATCTGACTGGGTAGAAAACAACACAGGATATACATTGACCAATGACACGGAATTATATTACATGTATTTATATTAATTAATATAAACTTTAATTAAAATCCGTGCCAATGAGAAACCAAGCTTACTCTTGTGTGAGTGGTTCTTTCGGGTGTTTATTTAACTTTGTGGCGTATTTCACGTAGCACCTGCTCATGAAGAAAAAAATAGAAAAAGTATGTATATTTTGTACTCTGACGGTAATTTAGAAAATTTGATTTTGTTCCAAAATGAAATGTCTTTAATTTTTGTTAAAAATTTTGTTGCTATGGTCCCAGCCAATTAACAATTTTCGTTTTTTGAAATTGTCCAATCAAATGCGAGGTCATGAAAGGTCACTAAGCAGCTGGAAATTTGAAATTTTGAAGGTGGACACGATTTTGGTAACTAAAAAATAAACTTTATTATTTGAGCGTTTAAAATGTGTGCATGTTCTTTGTGTTATTTAAGAATGTTCATTATATTGAATTAACATTTTGTGTATGTCCTAACCCAGAAATATACCAGATATGTGTTTATTTAAATTGTCCAGGCTGAAAATAAATTTTGAAACAAATTATGAAAGCATGTTTATTTTGATTTGCCTTATTCATGTGTCTATGTGATTTCTGTGATGAATTATTTTTCAAATTACTATGATGTTAATCATGTCAAAGATTTCATAATTAATATGGGCATAATAAATGGTAGCAAGACACCTCCAGACACTTCACCCCTCAAATTTTGAAGACACTTCACCCCTCAAGACACTTCACCCCCCAAAATTACTAATAAATAGGGACATTTTTTAAAACCATCCATAATTTTATCACTTTTGAAGATTTTCTTCCCTGCAAATTCTGCAGGTAAAGTGCACATTGGACGTGTTAGTGAAAGGTGTGAAAGTAAAAACTGATGAATCAGTAGTTCTGGCTTCCAAAACTTTATAAGCCGCTTTTTAACATTTTTGTTTTTCATCTGATGCGGCATTAAAGTTTTGGATTAGACCCGTTACGAAACCTAACCAGAATAACATAAGTTGATTTATTCTTGTTTTTCACTTGCAAATACACTTGACCCAATCAATTCTTGTGCATTTTACGATAAAACAATCATTTTAATATCATTCTATACCAATTAAAGTATCAAAATATTAATACCGTCATTAAAATTGCCTATTTAACTGTAAAATATCAATTTACGCCCACTACAGTTGGCCATGACATTCAGGTGCCACGCGAGATCTCGTATGACGTCATTCGCGGAACAGATTTTGAATAGAGTCGTGTACTATATTTAGAATATTTTGTTGACATGATTTCGATACTTTTATTCAAGATAATGTTTTTATTTATTTTCATTAATTTTTAAGTACTTAAATACGATTGTATTGAATATAAAAGTCAGTTAATCACCTTTTTCAATATCTTTAAAAAAAGTAATTTATAAAAATATTGGAGGCACATGGGTTCGTAAAGGTCAATCTCGTAATCACGTGATCAAACACTTTGGCAATATGGCGGCCAAGTGCCGAAAATTTTACCTGTCGGAAACTATTAGTAGTTTATGTTCGTAATAAGATTTTTATTTGTCCATCCTTGGCTTATCAACAGATTATATATAGTTTTATCAAAGTATGCTTCACTTTACTTCATGGCATGTTCGATGAATAAATACGAGCGTGTCAGATTCCTGGCACGATTATTGGTGGACTTTCCCTATGGGGTTATCTTCAGCGTTCACGTCATGTCATAGTATATAAACGGGTACGCTGAAGACCTTAAGCTAATGAATCAGATATGATGAAATTATGAGCACATTGAGAGACATTGAAAACTTCAACAGGCTGGTGAAAATGCCAGATCGGGCTTAGATATAAAAATCTCATATTTCTAAAAAATAATTAATATGTTTCTTTCTCACTTGTTTTGTTTATTAAGCATTGATATTTGATACAAATCAAAATAAAAATATTTTGGTTATCTTTTATTTTCTAAGAATTATTTCCCTTTTTCCCATTTTATAGAAACAAATATATTTGAAGTTCATAAAAATTATATTGTAATGTAAAATTCTAAATAGAAATGTGTCCAACAACTTCATTTTGCTCTAGATTATTGCGCCAATACCATTATTCTATATATTTGGATTAAATATTCTGTTTCTGGCATTTATATTTTGACAATTCTTTGACACTGAACATTAAACTTCGAAATTTTCTCTGAAAACTGAATGAAATGTATGCTGACAGGTGTTGGGCGCAATGAATTAGAGTATAAAGAAGTTATTTAACCTATTTTGTTTACACTTTGCATATGTAACATACTTTTTAAGGACTTCAAAAATTATGTGTTATAAAAACATGAAAAAAGGGAAATAAATCTCACAAAAGTGACAGTAGCCAAATATTTTTTTTCTGTTTATGTCAAATATTATTCTCAATAAACAAACTAAGTTTAAAGGAAATATCTTTATTTCTTTTCTAGATATATGATATTTTATGACATAAGCCTGATCAGGCATTTTCACCAGCCTGTTCAAGTCATTGTTAGAATGTTTTTATTAATATTAGTACGAGTGAAAGAAAGATTTTAAGTAAAAACACAACAAGTCAACTCAAACTGTATCTTAACCTGATTGAATTGGTCTGGACAATGTTCCCTGGAGCTGGTTCCAAAGTGTGATAAAGTGGGGGGGGAGCAGGGGGAAACAAGAACTTATGATAGTCTGATGTAACCTGTATTTTCATAAGAGAGAGGGAATGCATATGTCTAGTAGCCTAGATGGAGTTTTTATGTTAGTGGGAAGGCTAATGGCTACAAGATTAATGGTAAATTTTAAAATACAGTCTAAAGTCTAATCTGCGATTGCTCGAGAGAAGTTCAGAACACTAAATCTTACTGCATGGCTAAAACTGATGATATTGACAAAGGGGAATAGACATGTTTTAGTTTACCCAGCATATTGCTTGTCTTTGGACCATCTCTATTTATCTATCATCCATTAATGTCAAACCCATCTGGGGACATGTCTACGCATAATTTTTACCTCGATTATTCAATAAGAATAAGTAGAGCTATTGTAGTCACTTGAGCGTCTGTTAACCACTTCTGTTAAAGTTTTTGTAACACCTCAGATAAGTCCATTGACATATGGCTTTGAAACTTTGCACACTTGTTCACCAGCATGCCCCCAATCGGTAGACAAGAGGAGGAAACTCTCAAGCATTTTGACAGAATAATTACCCCTTTTTTGACTTGGAATTTACATTCAAGTTTGCATACCACCTCAGATATTTTCATATTCCATTGACATTTGACTTTGAAACAAGTTGAAATTTTATACACTTCTTTGAGAACATTATACAATTTATAGGACATTCTCCAAGGCCTATAACTGTAACATGGATTTAAAGAAAAAAATTGGCCCTTTTGTTAACTTGGAAATTTACATTATCAAGGTTCTTTTACCATCAAGCACTAAGAATAGTCGAGCCTGCTGTCCTTCTAACAGCTCTTGTACTTATGAATGTGTGTGTCCTGTAACACCCCTACTGACAAAATAAAAATAATAGAAAAACCAGCTGTGTCCAGGGCCGGCAAAATCAATTGTATTGCCCAGGTTGTCCCACAGCCTGTATGGTTAGGTGAAATTTTCAAGAATTAACTATGTAAATATCATACATACAAGTTAGAAAATGCTTCACTTAAAACGGACAAAAGTAAAAAACAGATTTAGCCGGCCCTGTATGTCATAACGGGCCTATAAGATAGTTTGGTATCATATTTCGATTATAGTTGCTGCAGTAGTACTAGTACTGATTCAGCGATTTTTTTCCAATTTTCAAAACAGCCTGTGGCTTTCGAAAGGGGAAAATATAGCGCGTTAAAACAGAAAAGGGGGGTTAACCTGAAATCAAATTCCAACAACTGAAAATGTAATTAATCCATACATTTTATATAAAATTTTGATTTCAATTCAATTTAACATGCATGGTCCATAGCAGAGATTATCTATAGTGACCAATTTCTGTCTTCTAGCTGATATTAGTCAGATGCTGTTAAGTCATAATTCTGGTCAGGAAGAGCGTTGGGCATTTTAGGGGGAAATTTTACCTATTTTGGGCTACGGGAAACAGCTTTTATTTGACTGTAAAATACAGTGAAAAAATCACTGTGATTGGAGTTAAAACTTTCAAGTTTCAATGTGGAACACCACATCATATGATCTTATAACTAGAGCATGCTATAAGTTAAATAAATATGTAAAGTTAAAACCCACCATTAAATATGATTATTGTGTTTCAGACAAGCTTCTCTTCATCCTTAACTTCTTCTCGAAAAGGAAATATTTAAAGAGCATCATCTACCTTCAACACCACAGTTTTGGCAGCACCATTGTAAAAAGAAGAAATTCTTGTATCATAAAGAACAACATCAAGTGCTTAAATATCCTGTAAGCTATACAGTACATCGTTATACTTCTAAATGTGATGAACCTTGTCTAGTTTTAATAGAAGTTTTAAAATGTAATTCTTCGGGGTTTATTTTGCAAATTGCAATTTAATTTTGTTTGTTATATTTATGCTTTGGGCTGCTATACAAATATTCATATTAAATCATGTCAACATATTGAAGTATTTTAAAACCTCTAAAATTCTTTTTATTCTTCATGTTCAAATTGTCATATTACAGCATTATTTTCAGATTAAAGAGGCTAGAATATTTTTGCCAGAACTTTTTTCTAGGACAGTAAACAAACTCATCCATCAAAATGCCAGAAGAATCCAGACTCAAGACCTACAAGAACAAGGGCAGAGATTTAGATGTAAGTAATATTACGCAAAATTATGTTTAGAGATCAAGTGAATTAAATACAGTTATAATGAATAGAAAATAATTGAACACATTCAAATTTACTTAGAAATTTTGCCAAAAATTTTTGGGAAAATCAGTTTGTTTTCAACAGATTAGAAACGGAAACAATTTAAGATTAAAATGTATAGCCAAGTCCTATGCTATCTAATCTGTTACAAAAAGGATCAATTTAGTGAAGGGCCTTATTTAATTTTAAGATTTTAAAGTAAATAAAGCTATATATCTGATGCATGCAGTTTATAAAAAGATTTGTTAAAATTTGACGATTAAAAGTTACTTAAAATTCATTAAGCAACAACTCTTTTGTTCTAGAAAAAATCTTTTTACACGCAGGTTTCATGTGTGTTTAACAGATACATGCTATGTCACAACTTTTTGAGAATCAAACATAAGATATTTAAAGCAACATGATTTTAACAATTCTAAACTTTTTAAAAATATTTCATTAGATATATAGTTTTATACACATTAACAATGTTCTCTATTGTAGGAGATGCGTCGTAGAAGACAAGATGTATCTGTAGAATTGAGGAAGCAGCGTAAAGATGACCAGCTATTGAAGCGTAGGAATGTTGCGGTAGAAGATGAAGGTCCCACCAGCCCACTAGCTGATGCTTCCAATAAGGTATAATATTAAGGCATGTAGTGATAATTATAGAGCGAAATTTAAAGGCACCCATCCTGACAATTTCTCAGTCTGCCCTTTTGCCCCTAAAACACGGCCCTGTTGCACTTACATGTAGCTTGCTTCCCTCTTGTTAATGTTAATACACCATAATTTGTCAACACCACAATGTGTCAACCAATTATCAGTAGCCTACATAATTATATCAGCACTTTCAAGTACACAGACTGAAGCCTGTGGCATGTTTGTCATTTGTATCAAACGCTGCAACCGCTTTTTTTTAAGTCAACCTGATTAGTGTTGCTCTTGTTTGAAATAATTTATAGTTGACAGGATTATATAAATTTTAATAGTATCTACAAACATAACTATCTTTTTTTTCACCATCAAGTCTGTCTTTGTTTTAGCAAAATGTTGGACCTTCATTGACTTTGCCTGAGATAATTGCTGGTATTAATGGAAATGACACAGCCCTTCAGATGCAGGCCACCCAAGCTGCTCGTAAACTACTCTCAAAGGAGAGAAATCCTCCAATAGATGACATCATCAAGGCAGGGGTTATCCCTCGAATGGTAGAATTTCTGTCACATACCGACAGGTAATGGAACAGTTGTACAAACATATATTTTTTCATTTGTCAACATCTAGTCACAGTGTGAGTCTTCATTATTTATTGTAACTTACTTACTGCTTTGATATATATAGTAAAGGTGATATAAATATATATTAAAAAAATGAAATAAAAATGTAAGTTTAAAAATCTTGCTCTGAAATCTTTGAAATATGAATTCTTTACTCAAATTTTACAGGCCAGAACTTCAGTTTGAAGCAGCCTGGGCATTGACAAATATAGCCTCTGGCACCAGCGAGCAAACAAAAGCTGTTGTAAATTCTGGGGCTGTGCCCAAGTTTGTAAAACTGCTAGAATCTGGCAACCAGAATGTTTGTGAACAGGCTGTGTGGGCTCTTGGCAATATTGCAGGTAAGTTTCTTGAGTTATCAATATTTGTTAAGAATGTTGTATGTTGAATCATCTATAAAAGTATGTTTCTAAGGTCAATGATGACCATTTTGATTTGTAATTTTTATGCCTTACAGGTTATTTTTTACTTAAGCATTGTGGAAGTAAACCTCCATTCGCACTAAAACTTATATTTAGAAATATCTTTTGCACACTAGAATTAAAATAAAATATTCATTTGAGCTAAATATACTAGTAATTGTGATTATGAACATTTCAACTGCCTACAAGATGGGTGCTGCAACTTTTCCTGTAGTATACGATTATGAACAAGCATTACTTACATTTATTCCTTCTTTTGTTTCCAGGTGATGGTCCTGATATGAGAGATTATGTAACAGAATGTGGTATCTCTGAACCTCTACTTAGACTGGTGCAGGCTGATACAAATGTGAGTACTTATAATTGTTAATGTTGTATCTATTAATACTACTGACTGAGAATATAGTAACAGATTATTATTTAAGATTATCTCATCCTAGTTTAATTTTATGTTATTTTTATGCCCCCGGGCATATAGTAATTGAACCGTCTGTCCGTATGAGGTTAACCTAGAACGGCAAGTTGGATTTTCTACCTGTACCAATGGCTTCTAAGTTTACACACTTACTAATCAATACAAAGTACATGATCTGGGCAAGTTTCATAACTCTGGCTTTCATATTTACCAAGTTATTGCCCTTTTCAGCACTTAGAAAATGAATAATGATTAACCTAAAACAGCAAGTTGGAAATATCTTAAGTGCTATCTTTACTAATGGCTTTATAATTTTCACACTTACTTATCAATACAAAGCACATGATATTGCCAAGTTATATAACTGTGTCATCCATATTTCCCAGTTATTTCCCTTTTTTCACTTTGAAAATAGGGCCTTGTCTGGTTAACCTATTTCGGCAAGTTGGATTTATCTTAAATTTCTCCTAATTGCTTAATTTCTTTACTGATATCTTTCATATTTAGAAGGTGGATACCTTTGATGGTCCTCCAATTTTTTTTGGAGTAAGCGGTCTCTAGGGTCAAGGTCACTGGTTTAAAAAATAAATATAAACCTTTTTGCTCATACAGCCTTTATTTTTTAGTTGATGTCTTAGTTTAATACAAACACCTCCTTCTTTGGGTGTAGAATGGGGTCATTTGGGTCAAGGTCAATGTTACCAATGTCAAGGTCACCAATGTTAAAAATAGATTTTTACAGGTGTATTGACCTTATTCTATAGACAGATATTATTTATAATTGATAGAAACATAAACTTTGATGGAGTTAGTGGTCAGTTGGGTCAAGGTCACCAGTGCTAAAATAGATTTTTACACATTTGCTCATACAGCCTTTATTAAGTGACAGATATATTTTATATTTGGTAGGAAGATAACTTGCATTGTATTCATCCTTTTGATTGGGATAGGGATCAGTGGGTCAAGGTCACTTGTGCTAAAAATAGATTTTTACACTTTTGCCCATACAGCTTTTATTTATTGACAGTTGTATTTCATATTTGGTACGAAAATAACTTGCTTGGTATTCTTCCTTTGGATGGAGTTAGGGGTCAGTTGGGTCAAGGTCACTTGTGCTAAAAATAGATTTTTACACTTTTGCCCATACAGCCTTTATTTATTGACAGATGTATTTCATATTTGGTAGGAAGATAACTTACATGGTATTCTTCTTTTGGATAAAGTTAGGGGTCAGTTTGGTCAAGGTCACCAGTGCTCAAAATAAATTTTTACACTTTTGCCCATACAGCCTTTATTTAATGACAGATGTATTTCATATTTGGTAGGAAGATAACTTGCATGAAGTTAAATATTTTTCAACTTCACAAGCCAGAGCAATGACTTGGCAACTTATATTTTTCACAATTACAAAATGCCATGACTTTGTCAAGTTATAAAACTTGTGTTTACAATTTTTTGGCGATTTTTCTGTCCATAACTGAGTGAATGGGTAAACATTTTTTGAAGTATTGCTACTGACAAGAATCTGAGCCGGGGGCATTTGTGTTTAACAAACATGTTCTTGTTTTGTATAAGATCCTTGCACATGTGATACCCTATTGAAATAGTTACTAAAAATATTTTTATTCTAAAAGATAATCAACAAAAATTAATGGGATTTAACTTTTTGAAACTGAAAATTCCACTCCCACTTGTTACTGTATTTAGTTATTTCAAAAGTGCTCTTATTTTATTTATTAAAAAAGTAAATTTACTTGTGGTTATTTTAGGCATCATTCTTGAGAAATGTTACCTGGACGCTGTCTAACCTTTGCCGCAACAAAAACCCACCACCAAACTTCAAGGTGGTAAAACAGTTCCTTCCTACGTTGAACAGATTATTGTTTCACCAAGATAAGGACGTACTGACGGACACATGCTGGGCATTGTCCTATCTTACTGATGGTACCAATGATAAAATACAGGAAGTTATCAATAGTGGTATGTATATATCAAATATTACTCTCCATCATTACTTGCCGCATTGTTAGACAGATATCATGTGACATTGGCATTGTATCAAATACCTGTTTGAAGAAGTAGGGCTTGACAAGATTTTCACTTGCTTAATTCATAGTAATGTTAAAATATAATCCTGCCAGGACTATAGATTCTTTTACTGGAGGAAGCTATCCAGCTAGCAACGGAAAGGTTGCTTGCACTGCTCGGGGTGCCCTGCAATGGTGCATGAAAGAGCGTCTTTGGTTTTCTCCACCTGTAGAGTTGAAGTTGCCATATGAGATTAACAGAGTTTGTGTGACTTAAAACTCAACAGAACAACTGATTTTTCTTCTTTTTTTTTGAAAGTGTTGTTTATTTGACTTGAACTATCCAGATGCATAATGTGCAAACAATAGAATACAGGGATTCCATTAAGTTTCAAATTTTTGAAGTCAGAGACTGCAAAATCTCTGATTTTGGAAGTCACGTTATATAGGTAAAGAAGAAAAAAGATCAAATTTTAGAAGTCACAAGCCAAAATCAAGGAGTAAATGACTCCCAAACTTTCATTAATGGTAGCCCTGCAGAATAGATATATTCTTGTTAAATTCTTACATAAACAGTTAATATCTAGGTTCTGTGACATGCCTGAAATAATGACCACATAGTCATCAAAACTTTAAGTAAAGCTAGAAAATCACCATAGGAAATCTTAACCATATTGTTTACAAACCTGTAAAAATATGTAATAATTATATGTATTAATTTCTTTTATTTCTGAAATTTATAACTTGTTTAGATCAGTCAACAAAGAGCTTGTTTTATTACAGGTGTTGTTACACGTTTGATAGAATTATTAAACCATAAAGAAGTATCTGTGATTACACCTGCCCTCCGATCCATTGGTAATATTGTCACTGGAGATGATACCCAAACACAAGTATGTTATATAATCTATATACTGTAATATTAAACATTTCCTTCTTACTGGAAATATTTCATTTTGAAAAATAAATTTTACTTTCATTTATAAATAATTGTAAATTTCCCTTTTTAAAAAAGGAACTAATATTCTTAAAAATTATAGGTAACATCCATGAAATAAATTCATTTATCTAAGTTTGTATCCAGTTGTTTGTTTAGCTAACATCTGACTGAAGGATTCCTGCAATAATGTAAAGAGTGGGTTGTCTTTCTTTGACTAGACTGTTTACAAAATGGATGACTCTTTATTAATCAGCATACCACAAAAAAAATGTACATGTATGCCTCTATTAATCAGCATACCACAAAAATCAAAGTTGTGGTCTTCATAAAAATGAAAGTTTGTTTCATTTAGTACAGTAAAAAAATTAGGATCTTTTTTTTCCTTTATTTGAAAACAAGTTAAAGGTCCACCAATCTTGTTATATTTGGGGTCATTAAAAAAGGCTTCTTTCTTTTAAAGACAGCCAAGTACTGACTATGTAGTTGTAAGGTATTTTTGGCAGGGGAGAGGGGGGGGGGGGAATTTTGTCATTGGAGTTAGGTATACCTATTAAACCTGACTAAAGAAGGAAGAAAAGGTAGAATGACTATTACATTCTGTACAAATATGATTTATGTTTCAGCATGTGATAGACAGCAGTGCTCTGCCCGTGTTCCAGACATTGTTATGTCACAATAAGTTAAATATACAAAAGGAAGCCGCCTGGACAATTTCGAATATCACAGCTGGCAATTCTGACCAGATTCAGGCTGTTATTGATACAGAGTTACTGCCCCTGATTATTGACATTCTTAAAAGTGTAAGTATAATATGATAGGGCTCCAGATAAGATGCATACATGCGTAAATTACGCTTTAAAATCGCAAATAAGCATACAAAAAGCGAAAAAATTGTATACAAATGTATACATTGTAACAGTATGCAATAAGCATAAAAACATTATTGAGGGATTTACAAAAATTTCAAAGATTAAGAGAACTCCTCCCAAATTTCAGATTTCAAGTTTTACTCATTTCCCAAAAAAATCAATGAGCAAATACTCATTGTCCTAAAAAATTATCTGGAGCCTATTATGATTACCTTGATATTTAAGTTGTTTTTACTTACTTGCCTTGCATGATTTTAAAGAAAAAGACATTGTGATAAGTTCAGAATAGGTAAGGACAACAACTCATGTCCTGACTGGAAAAGTGATACCAAAGAAATGAGCAACATTGTATGGTAATTTGCCAGTTTTAGTGTCTATCTCTTTTTAGAATGTTTGTCCATTGGCAAAGACAATTACTCATATTGTTTGTCTAAATTGCATATAAGCATTGATTGGCTGTCTATGAATTAAGTTCAGCTAGCTTCTGAGAAAAAAAAGAGTAGAGAATGATTAAAAGTGATTCGGATAATGTTAATTATTTAACCTGACAAAGTTGGTAAGTTGGCTATGAAGTTAAAAAGTTTGTTGACTGTAGTTTTTATAGGCTGTGTTTTTATATAATGACAGGGAGACTATAAGAGTCAGAAGGAAGCAGTATGGGCTGTGACTAACCTGACATCTGGTGGCACAATGGAACAGATCGGGTTCCTAGTGAACCTAGGTGTGATCCCCCATTTATGTAACATGCTCACTGTTAAAGAATCCAAGGTGATTTTGGTCATCCTTGATGCTCTAGGAAATATACTGCTGGTAAGTGCTGTTGTTTGAACTTATGAAAAAGCCATTGTGTTTTTAAGTCTATGTTTCAAGAAGGTCATAAACAAAATGGTTGTTAAAAAAAAGTCATTGTAGTAAAAATACACTTCTGTTCTTAAAAACATTTTCCACTACAAAAGTGTTCTTCATACTAGATGGATAATAATGTTTCTAACTATAAATCGTATGTCCCCAGGGCCAAAATACCCTTCTTTGTAGAGGCCGAATATAGGCTGCTTCCCCAATCAAACTAGCCTCTTTTTTCCCCCAGTTTGGTCCTCAAAATTCCCCAGTCTTTTGAAATTTCTTATAGAATTTAGAACAAAATTATATCGAGGTGTTGAATTAAGGTCTTTTACTGCCTTATTAGTATTTCCCAGTGCTTTTTGCTTTTCTATTTTGAAGAACTTGTTAAAAGTTTGTGTTAAATTTGAGACCCTTTTTCCCACAGTATGCCAAAATCACGCATATTTTCCCCAAGAAAAAGGCTAAGGCCCCTTCCCCAAAAATGGTGTTTTTTGGCCCTGTTTTTCTAGGAATAAGCTATCCGACTTACATAATATTATAGAAGGTTTGTGGTTATATTGAGGTAACCATATGTGTCTACAAAAAAAAACCAACACAGTCCTGCATATGAGAAGAATCTCCAAATACTGATATTATGATATATTTGCATGACATGTGGTCAGTGGCTGAATGGTTATGTTTGTTTGCTTCACTTGCAACTCATTCTTACCTTCTTCGATCCCCGGGAGATGCTTTGGTAGTTTAGCGCGGAGGAAGGTAGTCTAGTACTGGTGTAACTCTCCAGGAACGATGGTTAGGAAACTACCCGCCTATATGACTGAAATACTGTTGGGGAAAAGGCGTAAAATGAAACAAACAAACATTCGTACCTTCAGTAAAGCATGAAAGTTACCATATGACCTTTACAGTATTGGAGTGTTGGTGTGATGTAAAATCCTAAAAAAAAACTATGTATATATATTTATAGGCAGCTGAACGAGCTGGTCAGAATGTTCTTGATGCCCTGACAGTTATGATAGAGGAAGCTGGTGGCCTGGACAAGATAGAGGCACTACAGAACCACGAGAATGAGACTGTTTACAAGGCAGCTTTAGAACTCATTGAAAAATACTTTGGTGGAGATGTAAGCTATTTTCATTGTCTTTAGAATCTTTAGTTTCAAATTTGTCTTGTCTGGTGTAACCAAATTAACCTTAAGTAACAGTTATTCATTAAAACAGGATAATTTGTTGATAATACGTAGGGAAGACTTTTAAATAACTATGTATGTTTTTCTGTTCTAATTTGACTAAATTATAAATTCATTTACTTACCGGAGCATCTGTGGTTAAGGTCATAGACTTCAAACCACTTACTCCTCTGACACTGATATGTGTTTGAATCCCAACAGGGACTTTAGATTCTTTCATGTGAGGAAGCTTTTCAGCTACCTTAGGAACATTGGTGGTTCTACATTGGTGCCAAAAATATTGTGCATTAATATTTGAATAAATTATAATATTTGTAGAATATTATATGTCAAGATTCCAAGAAGAAATAATATTTTTATTATGAATAAAATATTTGAGGAATATTTGCATCAGTAATATGTGTGTGTTATTTGCAGGAGGAGGATGAAAACTTGGCCCCGCAAGCAGAGGAGGGTGCCACTAGTTTCCAGTTCACCGCAGCAACTAATGCTCCTCAACAATTCTCCTTCTGACTGGACCATTGTTCTGCTGACAGCCTGTTTCATCGTGACGGCTAGACTTCAACCAGATCTCACAGCTTTATACTCTTGTCAAAATTTGAGATTTCATTTGTAATCATAGTGACTAGATAGTCCCAACTTAAAGCTAGTAAAAAAAATGTGACCCAACTAGAACTGTGAAAAAATATAAAGGAATGTAAAGATATATATAAAATCTATACATTGTTCAGATATAATATATTTGTATTAAGAATTCATTGTTACATTGTAAAAGACGTACATGTATCATATCTTATCATATGGTGTAGGTTTTAATCATTTAAACATTTTTGAATACCCTTGTTTTGTCACAGGAAATTCTTTATGTAATTGAATTGATTCTCACATGTTTGACATTATATGATAATCATGTAATATTGCAATGTTATATTGTTTACAATTAAGAATATTGCTGAACTTTGTATGATAAGATTTTAATTGTTGACATCTGAATCATTGATTGATTGCAATATACAAGGAGATAACATGGAACATCATTAAATAGAAACTAGATTTATCACTTACCCGTGTCGATTTTGCAGCTCTGTAGAAATGACATTGCACGGCCATGCAAATATTTTGATGTGACGTCATTTCTGTTATACAAACATAGTGTAAAGACGCGCTAAATGTAAGTGTTATACTATAGGGGCGTCAATGAACATTGATTCTTTTGCACTTTAAACAGTCTTTTTTTCTTTTCTTTTTTCAGTTTGTGATAAATAGAATATTATATTCATGTAGGTTCATTACGGAATTTATTGAACTGGAATAAAATAATTTTATTCAACTTGTTCAGTATTGAATCTACACTCATTCAATATTCTCTATGAATGCCTATGGATATTGACATTACACATGTTTTTCAAGGTTGACTCAAAAAAGTGTTAAAACAAACCTTTTTTTTTTTGCTCCATTATATTTCTGCTTGATTATTATAAAGTTTAGTGGCATGTTTGGAATAAATGCTTATTTTAATTTCAGGGAATAAGATTCAGTATTTCATAAAAACAGATAAAGATATTGTTTTACAGAATTAACATTGCTTTGTCATTGTACTTTGTGTATAAGTGAGATGTTTGTTTTGTAAATATATATACAACAAAGTAAATGAGATTGTAATAGGTATTGAGATATTATATATATGGGTAAAAATGTCAGAATATAAGAAAGTTTTTCCTGTATGATTTGGTTTACATGAATATCTTGATGTATAATTGTTCAATTATGTAGAGAGTGAAATGTGCAATTGTTTAATTATTTATATAACCAAAGTGCTATAATCATCTTAACAATTGAAACCATGGTGTGTTCAAGTTTATTTTTCAGGTACTTGCCCAGATGTATTCAAGGTCTTTACATGTGTTCATTTTTTGGAGTGTCTGTGTGAGAGAAAAAAATCAGTGCTAATGTCCTAAATTTTGTTTTGCAAGAACCAGAATTACATGTAACTATGGGTTATTGAATTATACCAGCTATTTGACAAGTTTATTCATATCATGAATTTACAAATTTATCTACATGACTTTATGTCCTGTCATATTTTTGTGAAAGTTGCTAATTTTGTTGTGAATTCACTGAAAAATAGTGCAAATGTTCCATTGAAATCATGATTATTTTTGTCCTCTTCACTGTTATTCTACTCTGTCGATCTTTCTCCTCTTTACTACATTTTCTGATATACAATGCCAATTATCTGTGCTAATGAATCGTGAATAAATTCATGTAAATTTTTCCTAAATGTTTTATTCATTTACTGTTGCCTTCACAGAGTATAATTATACCCCCACCAAACATAGTGGGGGGGGCTATCTAGGGATCACTATGTCCTGTCCCATCCGAATTGGAAACCAGTACAGATATTAACTTGAAACTTTTATTTGCACATCAAGGCATATCACAATGTGACTATCTTTGTCAAGTTTCATAACTGATGGTTCATTTGACAGGATAATCCCCCTTTTTATTAGCTCACCAGAGCTGAAGGCTCAGTATCAAAGGGGGATGCTCCGGAGTCCGTCATCATGCGTCAAAAATTGTCTTCTTCTCTGAAACTACTAAGCAGATTTACTTCAAATTTGGTCTGTAGCATCCTTGTGACAGTCACACTTGAATTTGCTCATGTCAGTCCAATTGGCCCCTTTTAGGGGTCAGCAGAGCTAAAAATAGAAAAAACCTTTAAACATCTACAGAACTAATTAATGGATGATCACTTAACTTTGTCTGAAGCATTCATAGGTAGTCTTTTATCAAGTTTGCTCATATGAATTTGATTGGCCCCTTTTAGGGGTCTCTTGATCTAAAAATAGAAAAACCTTTAAACATCTTCTACAGAACTAATTGATGGATGATCACCAAACTTTGTCTGTAGCATTCTTAGGTAGTGTTTTCTCAAGTTTGCTCATATTAATTTGATTAGCCCCTTTTAGGGGCGCAAAAGTTAAAAATAGAAATACCTTTAAATGTCTATTTCTAGAGAACTAATTGATGGATGATCACCAAACTTTGTCTGTAGCATTCTTGGGTAGTCTTTTATCAAGTTTGCTAATATTATTTTGATTGGCCCCATTTAGAGGCCGCAAAAGCGAAAAATAGAAATACCTTTAAATGTCTATTATCACAGAAGTAATTGATGGAAGATCACCAAACTTTGTCTCTAGCATTCTTGGGTAGTCTTTTATCAAGTTAGCTCATATTAATTTGATTGGCCCCTCTTAGGGGTCTCTAAAAATAGAAATACCTTTAAATGTCTATTTCTAGAGAACTAATTGATGGATAATCACCAAACTTTGTCTGTAGCATTCTTGGGTAGTCTTTTATCAAGTTTGTTCATATGAATTTGATTGGCCGCTAAAGCTAGAAATAGAAATACCTTTAAATTTCTACAGAACTAATGGATGGATGATCATCAAACTTTGTCTGAAGCATTGTTGGGTAGTCTTTTATCAAGTTTACTCATATTATTTTGATTGGCCCCTTTAAGGGGTAGTTTTTTTATCAAGTTTGCTCAGCCCCGTTTAAGCTAAAGCTTAAGTGCCCCAGGTCATGGAATTTCTTCAAATTATTGTTTAGACATATTCTATGCTCAAATTTAATATTAGAATATATTGACATTCCAACACTGAAAAGCAGTTGTTTCTGGTGAGCGACTCAGTGCCATCATGGCCCTCTTGTTAACTTAAATATCCAAAAAATCTACTAAAGTGGCTATTGCTATATTGTAATGAATAAATTGTCTTCATACTTGGACGTAACAATCCTCAGTCAAATGACCTTGACCTTCAAGGTCAAATGACTGGTTACAACTTTATTAAATATCCAATCTCAGAAGCCCTTGAAATACCTATGCACTGTCCGTTTTAGTTTGATAACTAATGGAAAGTTTGACATAATTTAGTCCCTTATTATTTTCCCCTGCCAAAAGGCGGCGGGGGATATAGAAATATTCTCCATCCTTTCGTCCGGAGCATATCTCAAAAAGTATTCGAGGTATCAACTTGAAACTTCATAGGTGGATAGATCATATTGAGGAGGATAGCAGTGCACAACATTGATAACTACCCTGCATATTTATTCAGTTATTGCCTTTTGTTATTTTTTAAACTTAATTTTTCACCTGAGCGGAGCATAACTCAAAAGTCTTTGAGATGTCAACATGAAACTTAATAGTCAGGTGTGCAGTGCACAAGAGTGATAACTCTATCCTTCATAATTTTTTGAGTTATTGCCCTTTGTTATTTTTCATACTTTACTCCGGAGCTTATCTAAAAAATGTTAGAGGTATCAACTTGAAACTTCATAGGTGGATAGATCTCATTGAGGAGGAGTGCAGCACACAAGAATGATAACCTATTAGCATTATTTTCAGTTATTGCCCTTTATTATTTTCAGCCATCAGTATTCACATATGTTTCAAATCTGTAATCACCATCAGTTTTCATTACCAAAAGACCTTACAATTGAATTATTCTGCTCTTCTACATAACATTCTTCCAATGAGCAAACACATTCGCCGGGTGATGGCCATGTTAACATGTCTGTTGTTCAAATTGGCATCAGAAGATTAATTTTCTTTTACCTATCTATCTCCCTTCTTTTTTTACCAAAATAATTGTTAGCAGATGAATATACATTTAGCAAGGCAATTAATTGTAGTTATTATTATTGGTACACAGATGAAACATGATAAAATATTATATATAGGTACAGTTCAACTTTGGCTTCAGACAACTAAATTTTCAATGAGTTATGTTGATGGGTTGGGGAATGAACCACCTTCAGTGATAGTTCTAGTTTAAAAATGGGGTAGGCCATATAATTAAATTAAATTTTGACTAAAAGTTGCTGTGTTGTACACCAATTTTTCAGTCGGGTTCTTAGACCTTTATTCTGTCACATTTGATAAAAATCTAGCAGAACAAGCTTGCGATGATAACTCGTCTGTAAATAGATCTAAAACACTTCAATCACTATAGTTAGGTAACAGATGATAGTGCAATAATCATATCAAACGTTCTTCTGATAGGAAAAAAATATGTTGCACACTTTATCTACAATTTATCTGTAGCAATATTTACAATGAAAGGTGTTGGATATGTATTTCAACCATATCCAATTACATTTTAATTAATATCATGATGACAAAATTCCATGTTTTACAACCACTTAACCAGTATACAGTACAATACAAATTGTTCCACTAAAATTCGCTGCGTCACGACTCAGAAGAAAACGATTTGACCTGTTTTGAATTTGGAACAGTATATTTCTAGTTCACGTACCACACTATGCCTCAGAAATGATTTTTTTCTATTTTTGTAGAGATAAAAAACATGGGTTTGGTTATGTTTTATTAACGGATATTAGTTATTTATCATCAGAAGTCAATAGTGCTGAATGTGAAATAATTTGTCATAAAGGAAGGAAAATGTGAACAGTGGTTATTTGACTTTGTTGCAAAATATTAAATCACCATAACTGTTCTTGTTATCAGACAATAAAATAAATTATCTTTACCAAAAAATACACTCAGCAAAGTTTTTTTTAAGTTGCTTAGCTCTGTAGTTTCTCTTAGTAATATAATCCTATTACCCCGGATATATTTCTGAATCCAAACTTTTCAAAGAAATCAGCAAAAAAAAAAACAGAACAGAGTAAACAAAAACACAAAAACATCACACTTAAGTAGATATAAACAAGATAAATGAACTATTTTATTTTCTTGCATATCTTGTAGAGTCTAACTTACATAGTATTCTCCCTTTATTCACAAACTGAACTAAACTGTTACAAGGTTAGCTTTTAAAAAAGCTAGTAGCGACTCGCTTCGTAATTTTTTTCAAGGGGTGTGTTTAAATGTAAAAATGACAGTTCTGTTAGCTAAAGAGACTTCAGCGAACATCAAAATAAAAGTGTAGTCAACACTGGCCCGGTGCCCGATGGCCAGTGTATATAAGTTCAGGCCACTGTAAATTTAAGAAAATTTTGTTAATTATTTAGTAGAATAAATTCAAAACTGGAATTCGGGCCAGTAAATTCAAAATCTTAAACTCATTGACTGAAAGTGACATATAAAGTTCTCTCAGTTTAACCAAGATGAGTATGAGTATATATGAAGGTGCATGTAAACGGATTGAATGAAGAACCTATGTCTATGCACATTTACTATATGGCCTGTTGACCTTGACCACAAAATGTTAGATAGGTAGATTTCATAAAGATGTCTTTTTATACAAAATTAAGTTGTAATACATGTATGTTATTTAGTATGGAATGAGAGGGCACAAGTCCTAAAGTAAAACACAAGTTGTCAATCAATTCAGCCAGAAAAGCCGGGATCCTATTAAAAAATATAGGATCCGGAAATTTGACCAGTCTAAGAAGATGTTTTTCAGAAAAGCCGGGATCCTATTAAAACATATAGGGATCCCGGGAATTGACCAGTTCAAGAATATCGTTTTCAGAAAAGCCGGGATCGTATTAAAATGTAAATAGATCTCACGGATTGGCCAGTTCAAGTATATAGTTTTAGAAAAGCTGGGATCGTTTTAAAACATATAGGGATCCCGGGATTTGACTAATGCAAGAAAATAGTCTTTGATTTTTCCAATTAATTAGGCATATAATTATAAGTATTGTGATTTCCGCATTTTAAGTTTGTTAATAAATAGCTCTAAATATATCTATATTCTAAGTTAAATTAATTTAACGTTCATTATATACAATCAAAAAAATTAACGTTTAATGGCCTTTCATAACGACAACAATCAACACAAATATATAGTTCATTAGGTTTTTCCTCCATATCTTATACGATCCCGGATCCCGGGCGTCCCGGATCCCGGCCAGTAAATACATACACTAAATACCGGAAAGGATAAAATGACCGGA